GTCTGCGGCATTGTTTCCGCTGTTACGACAGGCATTATAAAGCAATTGTCCGGTAAGATATCCAAGCACGACACTCACATAGCCCTAGCAAGAGCAAAGGCTAACACCATCGCCGACTTGGTCTCCAAGGCTCTGCGGGACCGCCGCATAGACGACACGGAGTTTTCTTTGATCCTCGCGGAGGAAAAGAAATACGGCGAATTAAAGTCGGGCAATAAAAAAACCATCGTGAAAGATCTTTCCGAGGAATCTCGCAAACAGATCTACCAGAAGGCAAAAGAGGAGCTCCAAAGAAAACTCGCTCAGTAGACATCTGCTTTGAAAAGAACGTAGGGGGATTTCGACTGCACATTTCATCTTCTCGGAATCCATTCTAATAGGGGGTGGTTGGGGTCTATTTCACGGAATATATCGTAAATCACGTTAGGATAATACGTAATCTTCTTATTTAGCTGACAGAATAACCACTCAGCCCTTTCCATTTCTGGCACATCCGGAATTTGCTTACCGGTAATTTCTGACAAAAGATAGGGAATAGCTTTGTAATATTTCCCTAGTTTTAATTTTTTCAATGTCTTTCGTAGACTTTGCGGCGAGGGCTCTTCTAAGTGGTCTATGATCTCCCGCGTGTCTAAATATACCGGATGTAAACCTTGGATATAATTCATCCAGTCTCGGAAGTATTTTAATCTCTTATATGGCGTTTTCGTGCGACCTCCATTGGCGTAATACTGTTCTTTGGTAACGTTTGGCACCGCATTACGAATATTCTTACCACACTCGTAACACTGTGCTGACGTGTCCTCCTCTATCTGCATTTTTTTACCACAACACCAAAAGAGTTCTGGCTTAGGTACGATAACTTTAGGCGTTAAACAAATCACACAGAAGTCGTTAACGAACTTCTTACACTCATGCATCGTATATCTAAAGAATATCTTTCCCTCTGTTTGCGACCCCAACAGAGCAGCAGTTAGGCACCTTTCGCGCTGCCGGCGGATCACGCAAGACCCCCTGTTCCGCGGGTTACCGACCTCCAAAAACCCACCCCCCCCTGGTGTTTTTCGACTTTCGATTTTTGGCAATGCCGGCGCTTCGCGAGTCCGCCTAACTGCTGCTGCTCAATACATAGAAGTAGAGCAGAATATGTATATGCGTGAGAAGAAAAAGTCAAGACTACATTTTTCCCAGCAAGCCTGTTTTGTGAATCGCTTCACTCTTCAGGGGATTTAGTGATAAGAAAATTCATGACTATCGTTTATATAGGAAAAATATACATAATTAATTAATTAGATAGTAAATAGATTAGCTGTTGCGACGTAGCAACACTTTGTTTCTGTGTTGGCATGAAGATACAAGTTTATTTCGCTTATCTAATGATGAGAGTTCAGGTCAGTGGAGTTATTAGAAATTTTTCTTTGAGGCAAAGATTACATCTTTTGCTGGAGCTTTTCTAGGCAGAGCTTGATGATAGATCTAGAATGCGCCATGAAATAGAGTAACCAATATTATTGCTCTTGAGAGTCCAGATGTGTTCGCTGAGTTCAGTGGAGTTGTGGTTTCTGTATCTTTAACTACTTGTTTTGTAGTTGTTTTCGCTGTGAGTCCGATGTTTGTATACATATACATATATATACAGATTTCAATAAAGTTAGTCGCCTGAAAAGCTACAAAGCTGAGACCAACAAGGATTATGGGTAGTTACATTTTACATGTTTCAACCGCTTTAATAACTGTTGATGGATTTTAGATCTTTTACCATTTACAGTC